CAGGGACCGGGCCAGATCCAGCCAAGGGCCGGCACTGCAGGGCCAGTCAAGAGGCAGGTACCTGTCCCCGGGCTGTGCCAAAGACCTTCGCCCAGGGCAGGAGCTGGGCTTGGAGGGCCCCGTCCACGCCGTGTGTGCTGACCACCACGGCCACGGCCTTCCATGGCAGTGCCTAGTCTCAGGTGGACCCCAAACTTCCAGGATGAAATGAAGGACTCCTGGCTTCCTCCTCACACTTCCGCCCCTCCCACCACCCTGCAGGTTCACAGCTCAGCAAGGCGCTCCACGCTCAGAGGCTCGAAACCGCTGCCTTGTCCGCGTGGCCTCGCCTATGGCTGAACTCTGCGGTTGTCACCAAGATGGCTCTGACATCCCATTTCATTCAGTTCTAGCTCAACTGTCGCTTACCACATCTTATTTCATAATGTAAACATTATATATGATTGGGGCCAGCAGGTGGTGCGGTGGTTAAGGCGCTGGGTCCCCACATGGCTGACCATGGTTCAAGTCCTGGACCTGGAGGCTTGCTTTCTTGCTTCCCCTTGCTCTCTGTCTCTCTCTCTCTTTCTGGTCAAATTAAAATAATAACAATAACAAATGGAATTAAAATTTTTTTTAAAGAAAAAATAGAAGACATGATCTACTCATTTAAAAAAAGTTGTATCTGGAGACCAGCAGGTGGCATGATGGTTAAGGCACTGGATCCCCACATGGCTGACCATGGTTTGAGTCCTGGACCTGGTGGCTTCCTTTCTCACTTTCTCTCTCTCTGTCTTTCTCTGGTCAAATTAAAATAAATGAAAAAATAAATTTTAAAATTTAAGTAATTCTTTTAAAAAGTTATAACATTAAGTTTATTAAGAAAATATTTTGAAAAGAAAGAAAATATTTTGGGACCAGTTACATTGTTGGACTCCCACATACTTGACTGTGGTTCGAGTCCCAGACCCGGTGGCTTAAAACTCACACCAGGCACGTGTGCGTGCGTGCCCAAGATCCCGAGAGGAGAATAGAGAAGGGATTGCGGCGTGGCCATCCCTCCTGGGGGTGATTTCTCACTTTCTGTCTCTGTCTCTCTAGCGAGCACACGCGCCCTATAGCTTAAATCTCTTAAGAAAATACGTGTAGGGCCAGCAGGTGGCGTGGAGGCAGACACTGGGCTCCATACGCCAACCACAGCTTGGCCCCAGACTGGCTTCCTTTCTCACCCTCTCTGCTGAGCAAACGTACCCTACAGCAAATTTTAAAAACCAGTCATATTGAGGGCCAGCAGGAGGTGTGGTGGTTAAAGGCATGGGATTCCCACATGGCTGACCGCAGTTCAAGTCCCAGAACTGGCAGCTTGCTTCCTCACATTCCCTTTCTGTGTCTGTCTACCTCTGTCTGGTCAAATTACAAATACTAATAACGAGACCAGCAGGTGGCATGGTGGTTAAGGTGCTGGACACTCCCACGCGGCCGCCCATGTTTGGAGTCCTGGACCTGGTGGCTTGCTTTCTCACTTTTTCTCTCTTTCTCTCTCTGAATCGCTCCCTGGTCAAATTAAAACGAATGAATAAATAAAATAAGACAGTACTTTAAAAAATAATAATAATAACAAATGGAGTTAAATAAGTAATTATGTAAAGACAGTAATGATAAATACATAATTTAAAAATTTTTTAAGGATACTTATTTCTTCCCCGAGTCAGCAAGAGACAGTTAGAGACACAGAGGAACTCAGCTGGACTCTACACGACACACACCAGCCTCGGCCAGCCCGTCTCGGGCGCCTGGTGCCCACTGAGCTCGGGGGTCCCAGACTTGACCAGGAGCCCCGGAGGGGCCTGCGTGGCAGGGCGCTGCCCGAGTCACCCTTTTCCAGTGTTTTGCTGTAGGCCACGTGCATTGTCAGAGAGTGGGGAATTGCCCTCGGTGGGGGTGGCCACACCGCAACCCCTTCTCCATCTTCTAGGGATGTGGGACACGCACCTGTGGGTTTCACTGGGTCCGCGGTGGGTCACGGGGGTCCGTTGTCTCAACCACCAGGCCCACTGCTGGCTTCCCCAAATTCATGACAACCATTACACGTTACACAGTAAAGCAGCCTTCCCTCCGTTAAAAATGCCGTCACTACGCACCCCCACTTTCCTCACCCCAAAGAAACCCTGCAGCCCTAACCGGCACTTACTCCGCGCCTTCCCTCGCTCCTGGCCTCCACCACCCACAGGCGTCTTTTAGTTATTTTTAAGAGAGATTTTTGCTATAGGGCACGTGTGCTCACTAGAAGGTGAGAAATCACCCCAAGGGGATGGCCATGACACAATCCCTTCCGCTCCATCTCCTCTTGGGATCTTGAGCACGCACGCACACGTGCCCGGCGTGGGTTTACGCCTCCAGGTCTGAGACCCGATTCGCGGCCAGTCATGCCGGAGTCCGGCGTGACCGTTACCGTTACGCCGTCTGCGGCCCCCAACAGTGTCTTTTCACTTCGGGCCTCGTGCCTGTGAACACCAGGCACTTCCTGGCTCTACCTGTGCAGCCAGTCTTCCAGAACACAAGCCAGAAGCAGCCCCCTGGCAGGGGCTCTGAGCGCCCGGCCCCTCAGCACATTGTCCGGGGAGTCCGACTCCACGCACCTGGCCTGTTAACGGAGCGTGAGGGAGCTCCTGAGCTGCGACCCCTGGACCCCCACGCGGCCCACCCCCACCTGTCCTGCTGTCAGGGCCAGCAGTTCCCCACATCCACGGCCTTGCTTGTCCGGTGTCCCCACCTGGTCACACCATCTGCCTCAGACCCTGTCCAGGGCTGGCCGGGGGCCACCACCCACACCCAGTGACACTCTCTCCCTGGCCTGGCCTCCACCAGGACTGGGCTCTTCCCACCAGAGGGCACTCGGGCCAGGCCTCTGCCCACTGTCCCCGGCCCTGCCGGTTCCCCACCTCCACGGCCTTGCTTGTCCGGTGTCCCCACCTGGTCACACCATCTGCCTCAGACCCTGTCCAGGGCTGGCCGGGGGCCACCACCCACACCCAGTGACACTCTCTCCCTGGCCTGGCCTCCACCAGGACTGGGCTCTTCCCACCAGAGGGCACTCGGGCCAGGCCTCTGCCCACTGTCCCCGGCCCTGCCTGCCAGTCTCTGCTCCCCAGTGGCGGGTCACATCAGGGTGCGCACGTCCTGGCCCCAGAGGCCGCGCTCTCTGCACAGACCTGCTCTTTCTCTAAGGGGCCCCTGCCCTGGACTCAGGGGGGACCCAGGACGAGCCCCTGCAGTGAGGCGCAGCAGGTGCACCGGGCCAAAGCGTCCGGAGGAACGAGGCGAGGAAAGGGCACAACAGAGAAGCTCGGCTTAGGTGGCCGGTGGGGCTGGGCAGGGCTGAGGAGCCCCACACTCGCCGGCCACTGACAAGGCCGGCAGGACTCCTGTGGTGGCTGCAGCCTCGCCATGGTGCTTAAGAGGGCAAAGAGAGAGGCCACAGCCTGGCGGGCGGGACCTGCAGCGGCACAGGGGTCCGAGGGCTGGGGCAGCCCCGCAAGAGGGTGGGTCTAGGCTGTGCTGCACCCGCAGGACGCGGCTGCTGCCCGGGGCACTCACAAAGTCCTGCTGGATGTCAGTGAAGTCCTTCCCGTACTTCTCCAAGGCCTCCTCGAAGAGGTTCGCTTCTGAGGCCGACCACTCCTCCATCTCGTCCCTGCAGAGTACAGGCCCGCCCTGCGGCACCAGGGCCGAGATGGCCCTGGACATGTCGTAGACACTCCTGTGCAGCGTGTCCATGGCGTGGAACTGCAGCAGCCGGGAGCCCAGGTCACGGCCTGGATGGCCTGCGCCCGTGTCCACCCACGGCCCTGCACGCCAGGACCTGGCAGTGCCCCTTCTGCCACCGGCCGGCCGGGCCCCTCGGCACACACTGGCATGCTTGGGATGACCGAGGTCCTTGGCCTGCCCTGCGGGAATGGCAGGGCCCGTCCCCACGCCAGGAGCTACTCACCAGGGTGATGTCTCGGGAGGCGGCCGCGGCACTCATGTGCAGGCTGGGCTGGCGGACAGAGCTGCTGCAGTCCAGGGCCCGGGCAAAGGTGCCCACGGAGCTGGGGACAGGGACACACTGACCACCAGGGCTGGACAGCAGGGGTGCTTGGCCAGGACCAGGCCATGCTCCCACCACGAGGGTGGGCTCCAAGAGAGCTCCCAAGAGCCAGTGGTGAGCACGGCACGGCACGGGAGCCCGGGAGCGGCCTTGCACGTGGAGGAGCACCATGAGAGCTGCTGACAGGGAGCTCGCCAGTGGTGGCCGGGCCAGGGCCGCAACCGAGAGGGCGACGGCAGCCCCCTTCGACTCCCCTGGGCTCTCCAGCCCAGCCACCTGGGACCTGCCCGGGCAGCCTCCTGCCCCCCGTAGCCTCCGCCTGTCCTCCAGGGCTCGGGCAAGCTCTGGAAGAGGCAGGCCGCCACAGCGGGTGGTCTTGGGGTCCCAGGCTCAGCCCCGCAGAGCAAGCTGCCCGAGGGCTTTCTCCACCCTCAGGAAGGGACCTGGACTCACCGGGCCACCACCAGGAACTGGTCGATCTGCTTGTCAACAAGCGGGTTGTGAGACTCCCACACCTTGGTCTCCAGCTTGGACTGGTCACGGCCATCCTCCTCACCTATAGGGAGACGGGTTGGTGACCCAGGGCTTCTGCCGACACCCGCGGCTCCTAACCAGGGTGTCAGCTCCCAGACAACCACAGCACAGCAGGCCACATGGCTGCCACGCACATGGATGCACGCACACACACGCTGCTGGGTGTGGAGCCCTCTAGGCACATCCAGCACACAGGACTATCCTGTCTGGAAATGCAGGCACACCCGCTGGTACCACCATGAGCTCCATGTGGGGGCCGAGGCACGTGGGCTCCAGCAGCTGCAACCGTGGCCGGGGCACGTGGGCTCCAGCAGCTGCAACCGTGGGGCAGCGTGGACGTGCCGGGTGCTCCAGCTCACATGTAACAGCAGGGAGCTGCAGGGCCGCGTGCCTGTGCCCGGGGCCGGCCGGAAGGTCCCCCAGAGCCACTGTGCAGTCCCGACAGGCGCTGGCTCTCTGTGGCCCAGGCAGGCCTCTCCCGGGCCTTCTCTGCCCAGCTGACTAGCCAGGTCTGCGAACGTCCCTGTCCTGGGAGCTCAGGGCAGCCGGTGACCAGAGCTGCCGAGGACCCGTATGCTCATGGTCCGGAACCGCAGGGTGGGGTCTCGAGCAGCCATGCGTCCCGCAGACCAGGAGGCCATGTGGGGAGAGAGCCCTGGGGTGCTGCATCCTGGGCGTGGCAGTGTCGGAGCAGTCCCCCACCTGCCCTCCAGCTAAGTACCACACTCAGGTTCACTTCAGGGTGCTGGTTTCATGTTCTGGAAAGATCCTGTCACCCTCTGGCCTTCATGGTCAGAAGGTCAGGCGCCACAGGGTCTCTGGTCAAGGCCGGGAGCCCAGAGCTGGTGGCCTGGACAGCTCTCAAGGCCATCTATCCTCGTCACAGGGTGAGGCATCAGTGGCCACGGGGCTCCTAGGCCCAGGGCTGCATGCACAGGCCCCGTATGAAGGGCCCAGGCCTCTGGGGGACGAGTGGGGACCTCCTGGCCGCCTGGGCTTCTCCCTCCTCCAGGAAGGGCTGCTGCAGGGCCGCTGGCTGCCAGATCTGACTGGAAGGCAGAGGGCAGCCCGTGGAGCATCGGGAGGGGTGGGTGCCAACTGTCCTCCAGTCAGCCTGGGCTGTCCCGGATGTGGGGCTCCGGGACTCAGGCCCCTCCTGCCCAGTGCGGCTCCCAGGCTCACCGCTGGTGGGGGGGGCAACCCCTCAGACCGCCAGTGACCTGTGGGTTTCTGGCCGTAGCCTCTCCACCCGCTTGGGCATGGCTGCCATGGACCCCTCCCCATGGCCAGGGAAGGCCGGAGAGGACTCTAGACCCGACAGCAGGGCTGGCTCAAAGCCCGAGCCCAGAGGGCTGCTCGGCCTCTCAGGGTGCCTGCTGTTGGCAGGGCCTCAGCAGAAGGACGGGGTATACAGGTGTAGATGCCCCAGAAAGTCTTGAGCAGCCCAGGCTCGGGCCGACTTAAGCCCCACTATGGTAAGTGAAGTCAGGTGGCAGGGCGCCCCCTTCTGGATGGGTCTGCCTGGTCATCGGGTGTGGCCATGAGGAAGGGCCCCCTTCCCGCCTGCTCACTGGCCAGCCCTCTCCAGATGCCAGAGCCTAGGTCTGGGACTTGCAGCCTCCGGAACAGCAAGAGGAGAACTGCTGGTTCATGGTGTTGTCACAGCGACAGGCCACTGCAGGCCA